ATGAAATTGCATTAGAATATCATCTCATAATGATAAGGGATGTTATAAATTTCTTAAGAATTCAGGCTGAGACATGGTCCTGAACAACATAACTACGAATCTATCACAAAATAGAAAAAAATTGGAATATAAGTTACGAAGAATTCTAATCATGTTGCATTTAACACAGAGTTAATGACACTAGGATAGCTCTGCTAGGAATGTTACTGAAAAGTGCTGTATATAATTTTAAAGAAGGAATTTTCCAAGCATTTCATAGGTAAGAAAGGACACTTAAACTGAGACGTACACTGATACAAAACTTTATACGTTTAATTTTATGAACATCATTCAAAAAGCGATATAATATATAGTATATGTTAAAAGCGATACATATATATGTAATAATACTGCTGCATTACTGTGGGAGTTGGAGAGGGATCAAACTCGGGCCGTTCATGATACTCAAGCTGTGAGATTAATAAATTTAGAGGTGAAACGAATTCTAAACTTTCTCGAATACGATGGTCGAGACTTTCTCGAGTTTTTCGAATCCTTTATTTAATAATAAAAATAATTGTACATGATATTAAAAGTTCTTAATTAAACCAAACTTCTAGATCCATATTTAACTAAGAATAAACCTAAGGATGCACCTCTGAAATGTATTTCTACATTTATTAGACTGAAAGTAAAATTTTGTAACTAAAGTGTATAATTAAAATACATGAAACTTAAAAATAATTTTTTCTATAAAATTTGAAAAAAAAAAGATTTAAAAATCAGAAAAATATTTTAAGTTTATTTACAATTAATTTATGAAAGATTATTTCAAGAATTAACATAGATAACCACTAAAGATTAAAAAATATTCTCTCCAAAAAATTAAAAGGAAGTATTCAATGCTCCAACATGGCGATATTGATGACCCAAACCCACTGAAATTCACTGAAATAATCTTCATCGTTTTCAAAACAATCTTCTATTACATATTGATAAAATTAATATTCTCAAAGTTTTGAGTCAAGACATTTAAAGTTAGATCTCGAAATATTTCAATTATGAAAATAGAGTTTTGAATCTCAAACTTCGAAATCCAGAATTCGAGAGCTGGAATCCCACAAGTCAAATCCCCGAAAATGTCCCATCCCTAAAGAAAACGTTAAGTATACTTGAAATTAAAGTTGAAGATCACGAGAATAAAATTAATCTGATATTAATTTTACACTTTATGAACGGGGTAGAGATAATTTGATTGCTATGAAGTTAATTACATATAAAACAGTAAATAGTATCATATGCAGATCGGCATTAGTTATTAGTTAAATTATTCCAGGTTATTTTGTAAAATTTCAGTTTAACTAACAGTACTGATTTTAATTGCCTGTCTTCTGCTCTTCCATTCCATTGACTCCAATTCAAAAGTTTGAAAATTTAATGAATATTTGAAAAATGCAATCGATATCAAGTGTTGTTAGAGATGTAAGCGAAAACAGTAGTGTTATTCAAATCGGGAGTATGTACACATGAGGATTATTTTTAGATCATTCCTGCTGCCATCTTTCTACATTCAACTCCTTTGTCAATGAATTTAGCAAATGTCACATGTCAAATAAGAGAACTGACGCCGAGCTAGTGATAGTAAACTTTCAATAGTGATTTTTATTTTATCTAATTTAACAACTCTAAACAAAGTAGCTTAATAGTTCTTAATGAGAAATTAATCATTTCCAACTTAATTTACTTACTTTCAGTAACCAGTATGGGTTAGGTATTTTAGATGTGTTAAACATCCTTTTCTGAAAGCAGAAAACTCCTTTATTGAATTTATAAATTGAATCGTAGGTACTGTTGATTTTAGAGAAACCTTTAAGTTACAAATTAAAACTTGCAAATTTTTATTAGCAGTCTATTATTTAAAAGCGAGCAGTGTCAACACTTTTCGAAATAAAGCAATTTTATCTCCAGCGCACAAGACTGTTGCCACTCGGAAAAATGAGTGCGAAAATTAGTGTTTTGGAAGTTTTTAATTAATATCTCGACTAATTAAAATCTCACAAAGATGAGAATGATTAAAATGGCTACCCACGACGTTTTGGAAACCTGGGGTGCCTTTCTCGAAATTCAACTTCCCGCCGTTCCAGAGGGTATAATGTTGAGAGCCAACCAGGGAGCAAAACACAGATTTTAATAGCATAGATGAAGTTTTTTGTTTTAGAAGTGATCCTGAATAGAAAAGGAATTCAACTACTAGTCAGAAGTGCCTCATACTCAACAGATAAAATGTTTGTATTATTTAACATATCAAAGGATAGCTTAGCGTTGCACTTTCCGTTGACATAATTAATTTGTCGTGCATATTATTCAGCATTTCGCAACAATACTTTTTTCTGCATTTACATATCTTTTCGGTTAGTGTGTGTTGTAATTGGTGTAGTTTTCGGTAAGAATATCCATGCTTCTTTTTAATTGTAATGGTCACTGTGCTCGATTTCTACTCACTAGCTCGACAGCACTGCTATTTTACTGATGATATTATCGTCGAGACGAAATTCCTATAAAGCCAATATTGCAGCTTTCGCGAGTTTGCATTACTTGTTGCAACACCTTTTGAAAAATCGAGTTGCAATTATTCAAGATAGGTAATGATGCCTAGGCAATCTCGTGATGTACCCATATTCAACTACTAGAAAATAATATTTCAATTTAACAACTTACACAGCTCATATAACAACAAAAAACCGCATTACATGTGGAATTAGCAAAACAGAAATCATTAAATGAAATTGAGAATATTAAATTTACAAAACGAAGTCCGCCTATAAGTGTTCTGTCAGGCCTTTGACTCACGCAAGCAAACATGGCTAACAAATGCTACAGCTGATTAAAATAACGTTAGAAGTCCTGTGAAAATGCTAGTAATAGAAATAGTATTTATTGCCCAAAGATTTCTTCTAAATTCAAGAACTTTGATTTTATATATATTAATTAATTTACATCCTGGTAGAAGCAGACCAAAATGAAATGAGGCAAAATAATAAGGTATTGGGTTAATAAATAAAAAGCTTTACAACCTGACTTTGATGTTGAATTAACATTAATATTAATTTTCAGTGGTGTATGAAATGAAATACTTTCCAGGATTTTGAGTTATTAATAAAAATCTTACATTTGGGATGTTAGTTAATTAATAATAAGGCATATTGCTTAGCGAGTGTGCTGCCATCATGAAGATCTTCCTAAGCCGTGACTCATTGCTTCATACAAGTAAACTAACAAAAAATGTCTACATAGCTAATCGTTACTGCTGCCCCAAATTGAAGCTAGTATGCTACCAATGAGATATTTTTCGATGTAGCAGAGAACTAGATTATCTAATGATTAATATCAACCATTTTTCCATTTAGCATATACATGTAATTTAATTATAGTGTGCTTATGATAAAATCTAACGAAAACTTCCTCATAACTGAAAGTGCGAAACTGGAAGCTTGATGACTAAAATTTTACTTACTGAAAATTAGGACAGTTTACAAAGCATTCGACTAACATCCTTTAAAACAATACCACAATACTTTAAAACAATACCACAATCTTCCAGCAATTGAGATATTTCTTTGAAAACGTATTGTTACGAATTTGGTATTTAAGAAGCTAATGTTAGTTCAATTATAAATTAAATGGTTTTATTTCTCGCGCAGTGCAGCGCGTGACGAATATTAAAAGAAAGCTAAGCCGGAAAATTGAAAATACAAGAGCGCGTGCATTAAATAAATAAGTATCTCTTTTTGATTTCGAGAAAGTACTGGAAAATTCTAGCGCGTGATTTTTAAAATCTTATAAAAGGAGGAAAACATCTCAGTTCGTAGTAGTTGCTTAGTTTGTTGTTGTTTAGAAAACTGCTCTCGTGGATTGTAGCGAATTCGCGGATTAGCGTTCTTAGCTGTTTTGAATTACGTTCTATTGGACATTTGAGTAGTTAAAAGTGAGATATTGTAATACTGCATGATAATTTGAGAAAATTTAAGCATTTTTGTTGTGATAGTAATAAATTTTTGTTCATTTTTCATCGGACTTGTGCATTCATTTCGTAACGAATCCGTACTCACGCAACAGTATGTTTTTACGAAAATACCAGATACGAAACATTTTGATTTCATGAAGGGAAGGAAAACACGGAAGGTAAAATGAACATATTTACATCAAACATTTGATTCCTTCCTTCTGTCCATCAAAGCTTAAATTGTTTTGATGGACAGAAATTAAATTGCGTAAAAAGCAAATTTCAGAAAGTGTTCCTCCATCGTATCTGGGAAATATTAATAAGGTATGTACTAAAATAAACCAAGAAATACAACGCCAAAATAGAGGACAAAGATTAAAATATATCAAATGTCATAAAATATTCACCAAAATGCATGCAGATATCATGCTATATTTTAGATTAGATTAGTTCAAGTAAGTTGGATCAAACTGGCTCTGTTCGTGTAATTTTGTGGATAAAAAATGCAGTTTACTATTATTTTTAATGTCACAAAGAATAGATTTTGGTTTCATGCAAAGCGTAAAGTTTCAATGATAGCAGTCATTTTGTACAAAAGAAAATTAAGCTAGAAAGAGTCCATATATTCCATTAATAATTAAATATTAGTAAAGCCTATAATTTGCTTACACATTTAGGCTACAACAAGCAACTGCAGTTTCACGCAGTATCAACAAGTAATTACGGGGCTTACAGATTACACGTAGAATATTCCAGATCTATATTCAAGCAAAATAGTGTTATTAAAATCGTTTAATTTTTCGTATGATAAAATCCGTGGTTTTTTTAAGATGTAAAACTTAAAATATGAGAATTAATTGTTTATCTGAGTTACTGCCGTCTCCGATAATGAAACGAGACTAAAATCGATAATCGTTATACACCTTGTTATATTTATTTATCATCGATAGTGAATTATTAACAAATAAATAAAAACGTACTAAAACGAGGTGAGATAAAATTCGATGAAAATTCCTACCGTTAAAGCATAGGAATATCCTAGCATCCGCTTTTGCTTGCTATAATTTATCCTAAATGTTTACAGGCACACTTTGTGGTCAATCCCAGATTGTGTCGACTTGACCTTCCCGCTGCGTCTTTCGGTGTTCGGTTCTCAGTGGCGTCTGGCTCTTGTCTGGAGAAGTGGCTTTCCGGCAGTGCTACGATCGATCCCTTGACTCTCTCGCACAGACGTAAAGGGACGAACCCCGAATGAATTTCGAGAAAGATGAACGAACCAATCAAGCGTGAAATGAAAGGGTTTGGTTTTTCTTTAACTGCGACCGCAATATTCTGTCAAGGATTTAAGTACCATAAAATGTGTATTCAATGTTACGCACCGTTTGAACACGCGTTATCTTTTTGAATTGTATATTTTTATGGGTACTTAGCGGAGAAATGGATTTACTTTGTCGTTTAATTTGTCGCCCGATATAAGCTTTATGATATCACCCACGTTTTTATTTTTAGCCGACAAGGAAATGATATCTTTATCTCGTTATCTTTTATAGCGTAGATACGAAATGTGTGGATATTATAATAATAAAATTTAGTTAAGCGAATGTGAATAGATTTTCTCTTTCCATAGAAAAATAAATAAATAAAATAATAATAAAAAACTGAGAATTTATTGAAGAACTCGCATCCGTTAGAACAAAAAAAAAAAAAAAAAAAAAAAAAACTTGGAGCGCAATAGTAATGATTCACTTATATTTTTTAAATAAATGTTTTAAAAAATGCAACTCTTAAAAGAGGAACATAACCACATATAGAAAACAAGCGGCGCTGCATTTTTTAGCCTAAAGGGCGTCAGCCAAAAAGGGCTATTAATTTCATTTTGGCATTTTGCGTCGATTCCCTTTTCAAACTGTCGCAACTATTACAACCCTGTATTATATTTAAAGAAATTAAATAATGAAGGATCTACATAAATCTATATATGTTTCTCGCATTGTGATAAAACAATAGTACGCCTAGAGCCATCAAATTTTAAGTAGCGTAATCCCCCAGCGAATATGGACAACTGGAAGCCCTAATTTGGAATTTATTTTATTATCTGTTTCATATTTTGTCGGATATTAAAAAATTCTTGATTAATAAACTCAAAGATTTCAAGGGAAGGAATGGCAACAGTGTTAAAAAGAAACATTTTTATCTCCTTCGCGCGAGACTGTGTATCGGAAATTCTAAAAATATGTTCCTCTTAAAATTATTTTGCGATATTGCTGTTGAACTGAATTTTATGGTTTAAGTGCGAAGAACATGATATTTAATAAATAAAAGTAATACACAAAACTCCATCTTGGGCGTTTTTATTGATTTTTTTCTTTTTTCGTTTCTTGTTCTTTTCAGCTATTTTCAAATATACAAAGTACGCTCATCTCTTGAGCTTCTTCTTCTTTTTTTTTTTTTTTTTTTTTTTTTTTTTTTTTTTTTTGAGTGGAAAAATCCACTTTCACTTCGTTTCGACCTTCTCCCGTTTGGTTCTAAAGTATTTCAAAATGTTCATACTTAAAAGTTTTGCTAAACATTGTACCTGATATATTCACGTACATCTTTAAGCATCCAACGTGATGTCATTAATTTTGTTATGAATGTTTTCGCAGTTTTCCCATTTAGTTCACGGTATATAATACTTTTCGCATCGCGACTGCTGTTACGAATTTCAGCGTCTGATTTCGACTTCCGCGTAAAAGTTGGTTATTTGTGTGTATTGCTTCCATCTCGTTGATACAATGCTGGTATATTGACTCTGCGAAACACGTACCGTCGATGTTCCGACGGCTAAACTGCCAATCATTACAGACAAATACCTATTACGAAATGTTTGATTCCTAAAGGAGAGCACTTTTCACTTTGGTTATGCGATGTACACAAAACGTATTGTTTTTTGATAATCTTATTCATAGATATACACGTTTATGTAAATATGTGGTTACTTCAATAAACAAAATGTAGAAAACCGATCTTATTATAAACCAAATGAGATACCACATATTTCAAAGAACTACCTGAGACTTTATCGTAAAATAAATAAAATACATAAATTTATTCTTGAAAAGAAACTATGCTGAGAAATAATGAAATTAAAACGATGATGTTCAATTTAAAATTGTATTAAAATTTTAAATTCTTCAAAGTGATTTATTCCCATACTGGAAGCCTATGCAGTGATAAAATAGTTTTATTTTATTTAACTGATGAAAATGACTTTTGTGTCCTCAGTCAAGGTATTAAGAAATGAAAAACAGCTGGAACAATTATGAATGCTTTATTTTGGAGCATTTGGTTGATTACTCTGACATAAAATCACATTAGATTTAGATTTCAAAGCGAAACGTTGAGTTGTTTTCTCAGTCATTTTATTATGGAGGCACCTATAACATTACGCTTCCTATGAAGGGACAAACAGATTACATCCATGCCATCTAAGGGATTCTAACCCGGGGCCTTCGGTACGGCAGTCATAGTCACTTACTAATTTCCCGTCTGGGCAGCTGATATCAAAATTAAAACTCAATATTTATTTATTATAGAGTACACACATTAAGTGCTTTTTTATCCTTGTTTTTAGAGTAGCTAACATACCTTTCAAATGAGCAATAATGGTGATACGATGACACGTATAAGTAACACGTGGCATTGTGAATAACGTAGTAAGTAATGAACACAAATGTATGAATGATGATTTTCAAAGTAACAAAACTTTAAAAGGAAAACAAATATAACGTCCTACTGATTTGAAAATAATTATTGCAGGTAAGTATAATATGTTGGTTGAAATTAAATAAGTATTTCTAAAAGATAAAAATCACATTCAATTTAGATTTCAAAGCGAAACGTTGAGTTGTTTTCTCTGTCCTTGCGTTACAAAGCGATGGATGCAATCTATAGTACGGCTTCTCTAATGTTTCCGTTCCGAGCAAATAATTTTGTAACCCTAATTGTAGAAGCATAAAATCTAGGAATACAAATTAAAATATTTGCTAATAATAATTGCAAGTAACATACGGATATAATTTTTTCTATGTATTAAGAGCAAAGCGAAATATTCATATTAATGAATAAATGCTTTTTTACATCTGCATAAAGACTTAATTCTTAGATAAAACTGCAGAACAATTATTCGAGAAAATAACTGATTTCTGTTCAGTTAGAAATATCTCTTCGTCTTTGAACAGTAACAGAAAAAGAAATATCTCTTCGTCTTTGAACAGACTTAATTCTTGGATAAAACTGCAGAATAATTCTTCGAGAAAATAACTGATTTCTGTTCAGTTAGAAATATCTCTTCGCCTTTGAACAGTAACAATCTGCGTAAATGTCGTCTGCTGAGAGTCATTATACGCAGCACGTGCAGCAGGGGTAAAGTTTGATAATTGAAACTCATTTGTTAATAAAGATTTAAATATACACAACTGCTAAGCTTTAGCTTTCTATGATAATGATATTCATAGCAGCGCAAATACATCGTTTAAATCCGATGAAAATTTGCTTTATTTTCGATTGTTTCTTGATGAATCATGCTGGGAATAAAAATAATAGATCTACTGTCATCATCTTTGACTCCTCATACAAATTTAGTATTCTCATCCATAATTGCCCGACCACCATTTATACAGATATCGACTTAATACTACTTTTTAAACCCTCATGTGTAAACAAATTATGAACTTTAAGATAAACATCTTTCCCTACAGTGCTCGCTGTTAAAGGGAGGTAAAATAAAACTTTTCTTCACGAATATTACTCTCACAAGTATATGTTTTATGTAAACAAACAGTTGTATCAAGTTCAGAATATTAGTTGTTTCATGTAATTGAAATGCAAAATTTAAAGCTTTCGAAAGCTTAGAAGTAAATTGCTGAAAAAAGTTATTACTAATTTCAAAAATCATCTGGAATCAATACCATTCAATAAAGTAATTTGATGAATTTCATATTCATACTTTATTACATGAACTACGTATTTCCGACATTTCTATTTCAGTAGGCAACACTAGATCTTAATGTTAGTTAAGACTCCTGTAGAGACATTAGGTATTTTTTTTGGAAGCAGGCAAGATGAAAAATTAGGAACGTCTTCGCTGGGAAACGAAACGTAGACTTCTCAAGTACGCGCTGAGCATGCAGACCAATACACCACGAAGGCTCGCTAAGAAGGCGGCAGAAATACCTCATACTCTTATCTTAAAGACTTAGTTTTTGCAGTTAATTAACAAGTTTTGTTAGATGTAAGCAAATATTTTTCATTCACAGCTGCAAATTTCTTAAAACATTGCTTTTCTGCATTTGAGTGTTTTTGAAAGTCGTTTAAAGCATTCGTTTGTTTTACTACAATAGGTTGCATGTTTGGTACCAAGACGCGTTTTAGTTTAAAATGAATTTATTCTCTTATTAGACAAAACTAGAAGTTGGCGAGTTCTTCGAATGTCGCTAATATAAAGTCACAAATATATAATACGTTCAGTGTTACTAACCTGCCTGCTAAAGCAGATTTTGTGTGATAGCTACATATTTTACTGTTTTCGAGATTGAAATGCATAATTAAGAAATCAGAAACTTTAATTTAAATAAGATTATGTATCATGTTAAAAAATGTGGAAGTTTAGAAGAAGTACATATTGTGATATATTAAATAATGTTTTAAAATTTTAAATGTTGTAGTTTTTAATTTCCTTTATTTTCCGCTGCTTTTAAATTACGAAATTTTAGCCTAATTTCATTTAAAAATATAATTTTCGTTTGGAAATCCCTTTTTCTTTTAGGAAGAAAGGATATTAAAATTAATTCTTAATTTCAGTGTTTCGATACTTTCATAAATTACATTCCAATGCAACCATGTATTTGATTCTCAAGCGGTATAGTGATTAGGGGAGCCTACTGCGATACCAAAGGACCTGGGTTCGAATCCCGGAGAAGGCATGGATATTTGTAAATTTATAGTGTCTTTGCAGCATGAGAGCATTCTAAATACATCGCGAGCCAAAAGTCCTCTCCAGAGGTTTGTGGTAGGGAAAGAGGAGTGGGAGCCCCTTGGACTCGTCCCTAGGGGTGCTCTCCATCAATATTCGGGCGGAACTGAGCCGAATTTAAGTCGTACTGTCAACTGTATGGTGCTCAAGGGTCTAACC